CCCCAAAACCCCAAAACCCCAAAACCCCAAAACCCCTTATTATATTTTTAATGCTGAAGCATTATGTACTAGTTATGCCCTTGTCTAATCTAGCGTCTTCTTCCTCTACCAAAGAGACCTCCCATTCCGTGTCTTTTAGGTCCTCTATGACTTTTTGGTGGTCTGGTTCCTGCTCCAACTGCTAGTCCAATTCCAGCTCCAATAGCCACTCCTAAGGCTGCTGCTTTAGCGCCTTTACCAAGACCACCTCCATGTCTTGTGACAAATGAAGTTCCGTGACTGCATTTCTTGCAAGGGAATCCTTTCTTGTAGTCCCATCCAGTCCCCATGCATTTGCAGACTGTGGGGTTGCATCTCTTGCATGGCTTGAAGCATCCTTTAAAGTTCTGTTTCCATCCGCTTCCTCCACATTTGAAGCATCCTGGGACTCCAGAAATCACAGCTACATGGCCAGTCTTAGTGATGATCTGGGATGCTGTTGGATAGGCAGGAGCACTGTATGGGCAACCAGCACCAACAAATGGTCTGTAAGCTGCAGTTGTAGTGGAAAATGTAGATCCTAAGCCTTAGAAAGTAAGATATTTACCAAGTGTGCCTGGAGTTCCAGAGGTAGTTACAGTTGTCATAGCTGGAGTAGCATGAACTCCTCCGAACCCTGGAGTGGTTGTAACTTGTTTAGTAACTGTGGTACCTCCGAATCCTGGAGTTGTTGTTACCTTCTTTGTCACAGTTGTTCCTCCAAATCCAGATGAACTTGTAGTGACTTGTTTAGTTACGGTAGTCCCTATAAAAGATATAGTCACTCATAAATAATTGATGACCGGAACATAAAAGTACTAGCAAAATCTTAGTATTTTTATTTCTCCAGGCAAAAATTAGAAATGTCAAACTTACCATGGGTTCCAATGGTTGATACAGATCCTGGGAAAGTAGCTCCTGCATGTCTTGGTACTCCATGAGTGGTAACAGCTAAAGCGAGGATTAGCATTGGAAAATAATGCTGATATATTTGAAAGATTCTTCATGACTAATGTATTCTTGCTCAGAAATTAGCTTACTTGTGGTTGGCATTGCCATAGTGGGAGCTGGAGCTGAGACATGAGTTGTCATAGTTGCAGTAGGCATAGCAGGAGTATGGTGTACCATACCTGTGCCTACCGCAGGAGTGAAGGTCGCTCCTGCAGTTGTATGCACTTGCTTTGTCACTGTCATTCCATGACCAGGCATCCTATAAAATTACACTCGGAATCTAAATCAATTCTTACGATGTTGTTGTGGTCGTAGTTGGAGTTGCATGGGTGACAGTTGGAGTTGCATGGGTGAAAGTAGGAGCAGCATGGGTGAAAGTAGGAGCAGCATGGGTAATGGTAGGAGCCACATGAGTAGTAGTGTGATGTGTCATTGTAGGAGCAGTGAATGTAGCTAAATTCAACCAATTAATTTATGATATTAGGATAGATCAATATTAAAACTCCAACCAATTTTGCAACAAATTTCTTTGAGCTTTCTGACAAGATACTTTTTAGGAATTCTCATCTGGCAACCCAGAACCAAAGCTCTGGAAGAGAAAGAACAGCATTTACCTGTGGCAGTTGGCATTGTAGTTTGTGTCACAGTTGGATATGAAGGAGTTGCTGCTGTTGGTGCTGGCGCAGTAACATGCGCAGTGGCAGTCATAGGTGCTCCAATTTGAGCTATTTCAGCATAAATATTGGAAAGGAATTAAATTAGCACTGCTTTTAGTATTTTCCAGTGCAAATAGCAAGAGGTTGGCTTACTTGGCATGGCAGTTGGGAGAGCAGTAGGGACTGGTGTTCCAATTGGAACTCCTGCATTTACTGTTGCTGTAGTTGGTTGTGGGATGTGATATGGATTCATTTTGGTATTTTAGATAAATTTATTACTAAGACTAAGATTTCTCAACTTATATACCCAGAAGTGGGGTTTTGGGGTTTTGGGGTTTTGGGGTTTTGGGG